GCTTGATGAATCACTTGAGAAGGACCGAAAATGCGGTTGAAACGTTGTGAAATTTAAATATATTTATTATTTGGCCAGTCGGGTCGAACAAAAACGACTTTTGTTTTGTATTTATTTACTGGCGAAGGAAGCTTCTTATTTTGTTTTTACTAAACAATTAATGACGTGAGATCCAAAGGGATGATAAATTTCCCGTACAAATATTCACATTAGTACAATATATTGTGTTAATATGAATATTTCATGCACTTGCGAGCAAACATAATTTAAATTTCGATAATTATATCTCGTTACTACATATTGTATGTCATACTTCCAAAATCATTTTATAGTGTATTAAAAATAAATATTATTTCCTCAAAATCAAGTATTTAAATTAACGCAAAATTAATCAATTTTAAAATAATCGCTACAAAAAAATTTTCTGTTTCGTAAAATAACATTTATTGGATCTCGATCTCACGTCATTTTAACTGGTTTAAAAACCAGTTACCAATACATATAGATAGACTGTAAAAGTTTAGGCTAAAATTGATGCGTTATAGAAACAAATGATTTCAATTAGTGATCAAGAACACACACGATTTTGTAAAAGAGATTACATAAATTATATGTTACATTATATACTAAATAATTAAAATATTACAAGAATTTATTTTCGATCGTAATATATGCTAAAAATATCTCTAAGCATATATATTGCATTTTTGCACAAATTTATATAATTTTTAATCCTGAAAAATCTTTCAGAAAAGGAAAGATGTGTGGGAAATAAAACAAAAGTATTTGTTACTCACAATCAGTCACAAACATTACGTATTAACCCCTTCGTTGGCAGAGAGAATTCGACAAACAGTGCCCAAAATGGCAGGAAATTTTTTATCCTGATTTGTACTTTGGGGTTTTTGAGAGCCCCTGATTACGAATCTAAACTTAAAATTCAAAAATTCAAAATGGCAAATTTCATCCCAATCAAGTAATTTTTTGCATTTTCATCCGCTATTTTGGATCCGCCATTTTAAATTTGCAAATTTTAAATTCAGATTCGTAATCAGCGACCCCAAAAACCCCCGTGTAAGACTTGGATGCCAAATCGGAGCAAGTTATAGGAAAAAAAATATTGACGCACTATTGCGTCAATGCCACACAGGGCACCGATTAATTTGACGCACTATTGCGTCAATGCCAACGAAGGGGTTAAATCAATTTATATGAATCATCCAAGAATAAATATTAAATCCTAATCTGTTCCAGTCCATTAATTTTAAGGCAACGGATCTACGAAATGTAATATTGCGTATATGTAATAATTTATTGTCGTAATTTAGTATACAAGTGTCTCAGTAGTATATTTAATGTAATTTTCATAGATTTGTTACCTCAATTATAAAAATTTACTCATCACTCACCGACCGAAGCGCAACAGCGGAGTAATTCTGCAACGTCGCTACGATGATACTGTAACATACGAACATAAAATTCAAATTAAAGAATTAAGCGCTCAAAATGATCGACATTTCAAAAGATAATTCTAATGTGCTTCTAATTCGTCTTTCAATAAGATATTTAGCAATACAATTATTTTATTTCCCGAAAAAAGTCTTTATAAAAGTAAAATTTCAGAAAATTTATCTTGCAACACGTGCATGGAAAGTGCCCCATTACGCACGCTACGCGTGCGTGATAGACCACTTTCCAGACACTTGCAACATAAAATAGGGTGTGTAAGTCGTGCGTAAAGATGAAAATTCCCGGTTTACGCCGAAGGCTCGTGCGTAAACTCCGCACCCGGGAATTTTCATCTTACGGCACTTGTTACACAAATAACTATTTTCTAATTATTTCTAACTTATCGAGATAAGACAATCCGAAAAAGTGGAAAAACTATTAATTTTATGCAGATAAAGAGATAATACTCACCCCAAGGTTGCTCCGCCGGTGCCCGATGTCTCTCTCGGACCTCCTCCTCCTGCTCTCAGAGGGCTGCGTTCGGAAACGTCACCCGAGTGCACACGAGTAATACTCCCTTCTCTTTCTATCTCAGCGAGTTAGAAGGAGAAGGGATTATACCCGTGTATACCCGGGTGACGTTTCCGAACGCAGCCAGGACGTCAGGTCTCTCCTCCTCCTTCTCCTCCTCTCACCGAACAGGACACTCGCGAGAAACACTCGCGGATAATAAACTACAATCGCGCGCGGACTAAATATGAGTAAAAGTCTTTCGCGCGATACACTGTATCGGCACTCCCGTTTATAAAGCCCATTTGAAGATATTCCGTCGCCGTAATATTCTTCAAATGCCATGGACTTTGAAAAAGTCCTTTAGTCCGATTACTTGAACGGCACTCCCGAAGCAAACGCGACGAACCGGCTACGATTCGTTTATTCAATTAAATCGACGGACGAGGGTACGTTAGCTTCCCCGTCTTTGGATTTTTGTCCAAACAGAATAAGATCGAGTTTTGCTTGGGTATAACATCCTCGGGGTACTGAGCCCTCCCACCTCGCCAAGGTCATATCCGTGGGAAAGAAGTACTTTACTGTGTAATATAAAAGCAGCTGGTAATATAAAATTAAGTTATCGATATATAAATATGGATAGATAGGCTACGAAGAATTAGAATAAAATTAAATTAATTAATAATAATTATCTTCTTTTTCATTAAATAAGTTAATTAAAATAATTAAAGAATTATTATAAAAATAAATCATCATTAAGAAAAATTATTATAAAATAATTTAATAACTTACAGGTACGATTATATATATACAGGTGCGCAGCAGCTAACAGTAAGTATAATAATAACCATATCGGATTGTAACGTCCGATATCTCTCAAGTTTCTTCATTTTCTCGAATTTATTCATTGCACTCGCACGGTTGCACTTCAGTTAATTGTAGCTGACGATATACATATAATGCATAATGCTCCTGAAGATATAACTCCTGAATTTCGGAACTATTTTCTCGAATGCACTCGCGACTCTGTAAGACGCAACTGTAAAATTTCAATAGGAAGTTAACATTCGATCACTTTTATGGAGGATTCACACTGCGTCCGATGTTCGACGTACGACGATCCGACATCCAATAAGAAATTTTTGTCTCTAATAATAAATTCTGTTATTGGATGTCGGATCGTCGTACGTCGAACATCAGACGCAATGTGAATCCTCCATTAGCATGGCGATGATTTCTCGCGCGGTGATACTACGCGAGTCGACCGGACGGTTAATAAAGGCACGCAGTTGGTTAATTAAAGATACGCTATTGAAATTAAATATCGCACGCGCAGTACGTGTATCGAACTCGTAAATCTCGCGAAAGTAAAGCATTATTAATATGCACGACGAAGAATCGTGACTGCCGGCCGTTAATAACTTTTACGCGACGCGAAAAATACGAGATTACTATAATTAAAGCATTCACGAACGGGCGATGTATTATATACACGGCGTTCTGTTACTCGAATCACTCGATACGTCTCCCTCAGCCCTCTTTTTCTTTACGGTGAGAATTGGAGATAAATCGCACGACAATTCCGGCACAGCCAGCGTTCAAAGCGCGACACGATCGAGATAAATGAATGCTACCTATATACATTATTCAAGTCCAGGCAATATATCGGGACAAGCGTCACGATTAAGTATCGCCCGCGAATATCATAACGAAACTGCATGCAAATCACAATTGCCTATTGATATGCGTACTTTCGCCTCGACGTCCGCTCCTCGAGCGAGCGATCCGCTCACATTACTCGTTCATTCCGACAAACACTTGATACACGATACACTTGCAAATTGTCGAGCGCGTGAATTATTTCCGCGGCTCGCGAAACGAGGAGCAGGAGTGCCAATCGCAGGAACGACCGCGTTCCGAATAACACGTACCTGTGTGATATTCAGGGAGAATGATTAGCTGAGTGACTTCGGCAGGTACTCCGAGCGTTGATGAAACAAATGGCAAGGCCGCTCGCCGGCAAAAACAATCGGCTGCGTGGCGACTTTGAACGTGTACGCTGCCGCACAGTATAGCACAGTACCGAGCACAGTACTGTAGTTGTGACACTGGTTTCAAGTTCAAAGGTCGTCCCCTGGTCTCGGTATGCCGCGACGTCGTCGCGCCGCCGCGGCCGCCCACGCTGGCGGCTCAGAGCGGCCGAACGTGATTGGCCTGATCCGGAGGCTCGACTCGCGAGCCAATCGCGTTCGATGTCTCACCCGATGCGCGGCGGCAGCGGCGCGCGCAAGCGCAAGTAATACACGTGACGCGTTCAACCGGTTCAACCAACATCGGTGCGAGACGTTGTCGCTGTCGTTCGTGTAATTCGTGTAATTCCTTTCTCGCGAACGAAAAGAAATCCGGTTACGGAGTGTTGCAAAGTGAACATACGCCGAATATTCCGTTGCTTCTTGTGTCGACTGAAACGGGTGGGATGTGGGATGCCGTCGCTGAACGAAATGAACGCCGAATCCCGTGCTGGACGCCGCCGTACGTATCATCCTCTCGGCTGTGATTTGGCGGGTTTTCTGCAGTGCCTCCGTGATCGGTAAGTGAATTATATATGAGAAACAAATTATTTCGAAGCGCGATACATCCGAATCGTAATAGAATCGTTGTCTCGCGTGTCGCAGTGAGATGATAACCTCGAAATTTGCGTCTCTTGCCTCCGCCCGTTTCGATTTCTACTTCGAGTGAGTGAATCGCGTAGAAAAAACGCTTCAAATGAGTATTGAATCCCTCGTTAAGGGGATCCTGCAGCCGTATGGTTTACCGACATTATCGTTTTTAGATGGATTTTTTAATTGGCTTTATAGAATTGCAAAAATCTTTTACAGAATTAAAGTCCGCACAAAAATCTAGGGTGCCAAACGCGATTTTATATCAAAAACACCAAAAAATTAAAAATATTACTTATTGGGGCACATACACAGCTGTTACCTGACGACAATATTTGCTTAAAACAAAAATTCTGCAGTTTATACATACATAATGTTTATCATCCACCCTTGGGAAAACATGTAGGAATAATATCGTGCAAGTAGAAGTAAGATTCAATGCGTACAAAAAAAGATCTATCTAAAAATTATTTATATCACACGTGCGTGGAAAGTGGCAAAATAGTTTCTTCGAAACTGTGCGGTAATGTAAACATTACTGCACTGTTTTGACTCGTGTATGGAATCGGCCATCCGTCGCACAGATGACGCGCGCGCAATAATGGGCCACTTTCCACGCACTTTGTAATATAAAATAGGGTGTGTAACACGTGCGGGTTGAGAATTGGACACGAGTGCGTCCACTCCGCACTCGTGTCCAATTCTCAACTTCCCGCACTTGTTACACAAATAACTATTTAGTAATGTATAATAAATACTTACGGATGCAGGATGACAAGAAGAGCAGCAACAGTAATTACCGGATCTTGCGTAAGATAGCGAGCAATCGAACAAAGACAGATGTATTTCGTTAGACGAAGACAGATATAGGGAAAACAAAATTAAAAAGGTTGACATTATCGACATCGAGGAAGTTTGCCAGCTGTCACTGCAGAATCCCCTTAAGCTCGGGAATTAATAATATAATTAATTGAATGATTGAAGAGAGTCTATATTCGTGTTCAGGCTCGTATTCTATATAATTACCGAAGAGAGTCGCGTATTTGACGTTCTCACATTATTGTGATCGCGAACGAGAACGCGAGTTTGCTTCAATAAACGTGTATGAATATCGAGAGTGCGAACAAGTTCAAATGTGCGTCCACGAATACATTCCGTCTTTCGTTAAGGAACAGGCACTCGTTCACGTAATTCGTCGTAAATGTTTCAAATTTATTCGTACGTGTGCTTCTTTATTTCTTATTCTTTATTCTTTATTTCTCTACTTTACAGAAAATTAATGTTAAATTGTATATATAAAAATTTCTTCGCGATCGTTCCCGCAGCGCGGTAACGTGCATCCATAAAAAACGAAGAATCGTCGCCGCCAAGATACTTAAAAATTATAAAACATTCTCCATTTACTTACTCTCTAACTAAATAATTATTTTGCTCACAAAATTTTTTATAAACAAGCCTAATATATTGCCGCGCATTTCGCACGCGCACTCTTGTCTTGCAGATTTATTATTAGCAAGAAAAAAAAGAACGTCGTCAGTTCGATCGAGGGCGTTTTAAAATGAAATTATTGGTACGAAATTTTTTCTAATAACTAATACACTCGACAGTACGTACGTTACATACTCATGGCCGATACAATTAATTTAACATTAACTTTCTGTAAAGTAAAGATTATGAAGAATAAAGAAGCGTATGTAAATTTATTAGCAAAAAAGAAAGAACGACATTACTTAATTCAATCGAGGGCGTTTTGAAATAAAGATAGTACTACGAAAACTTTTTCTGATAGCTAAATGCTAATACCAGAACGGCCATAGACACGATTTGATTGTTATCGAATTCTGGCTGCGGTCCACTTGACGCTACAAATGCTTCGAAGCATTCCTCTTCTCTTTTCTTTCAATGAAGAAAGATGGAGAAGAAGAACGCTCTGAAGCATTTGTAGCGTCAAGTGGACCGCAGCCTCTGTAAGTATGTTATGGCACGCCGTTTTACTTTTTAATGGCATCAATAATATTCTACACAATATAAAAGTTTCCAAAAATAATTGTTCTAAGAAAAATAGCGATTCTTACTAATGATTTTAAATTATGTCGAACATAATAAAAATTGGACGAATTAAAATTATGTCGGGACATAAAAATAATTCCGAATTTTTATTATGTTCCGACATCATAGTAATTCATCCAATTAAAATTATATCGGAACATAATAAAAATTGTACGGCAAGCCGTTTTACTTTTTAATGCAAGCCGTTTTACTTTTTAATAGCATAATAAATATTCCATTCAATATAAAAGATCAAAAAATAATAGTCTTAAGAAAAATTACAATGAATTAAAATTATGTCAAGACATCATAAAAATTCGGAATTATTTTTACGTGTCGATATCATTTTAATTCAACCAATTTTTATGATGTCACGACATAATTTTAATTCATCGAATTAAAATTTGATATACATAATAAAAATTGCATGGCACACTGTTTTACTTTTCAATAGCATAAATAATAATCTATACAATATAAAAGTTTCAAAAAATAATTGTCTTGAGAAAAGTAGCGATTTTTACTAATGAATTAAATTTATGTCAAACATAATAAAAATTGCATAAATTAAAATTATGTCAGGACATAATAAAAATTCGGAATTATTTTTATGTCCTAACATAATTTTAATTTCACGAATTAAAATTATGTCTGGACATCATAAAAATTAGATGAATTAAAATTATGTCGAGACATCATAAAAATTGTATGAATTAAAATGATGTCGACATCATAAAAATTGAATAAATTAAAATTATGTCGAGACATAAT